TTCTTCTCCTTCCTCTTCTTTTATTACAAAAAAAATTAATTTGTTGTAATATATATAAATTTTAACTAAAATCAGTAGGATATAAAAAAAAAAAGAAGTAGAGTCATTGGCAAATATTTTTGTTTACTGTGTACGTATACGTGTATGTGTGTATGTGTATGCATGTGTATGTGAGAAAAGAATTGCAATGATAATCATGATCACCATTATTATCATCATCATTATCATCATCATCACCATCATAATCATCACCACTATCATCATAATCAACATCATCATCATCATCACTATTATCATCACGATAATCATCATATCATCATCATTATCACCACAATCGTTATCATCATTATCATCATCATCGTTGTTATCACTATCATTATTATCATCATCACCGTTATCATCATGATCATTGCATCATCACCATCATTATTATCATCATCATCATTATCACTATAATCATTATCGTCATTATCATTATCATCAATCAATCAACAATTATCATCATTATTATCATCAGTAGCATCAGGGCATCATTGAAACGATCGACATCAGGGATTGATGGTAGTTTCTGCTCTAAATATATATTCCATTACTTTCATCATCATCCTCATCATAGGGTGGTTTCGAAATATTCATTCACTTCATTGCTTTTAACATCTAGCATATCAGCAAAATTCAATGATAATGTTATCAGCAATAATTAGACAATTGTATCAAATCCAATATTTCATTATTCTCATTCATTTATTTCCTACTATTTATGCTATATTTTTAACACAACTACAATTAGTTGCAACAATTGATAATAATGATACAGAATATTACACCACTGATAATTTATTCATCCTTGATAGCTTATCAACAGTATGTTCCAATAAATGTCCCAATTTTTGTCCCAATCCTGAATTATTGGATTGTTCTAAATTAGCTCAAGATCCATGCGAATGTTGCACTGTTTGTCTTCATGATACGGGTGAACAATGTGGCCCAGGAATTGGTGCTTGTCATCAGTCAAATTTTTGTCAACCAAAATTGGATCAAAATGGAATTGGCATTTGTATCGGTAAGTTAATTAGAACGATTTTACAGTAATTTCTAGAAATTTTTCACCTTACTTTCAATACCATATCTAATTTCTTTTTTTTTTTGTTAATTAGATATTAAAAATTTATCAAACTTTCAGACTTTCATTTGTTAAATATTTGAAATGACACATTTTAAAAGCATTTACAAATCTTCCTGATTCATTAACTTACCATATTTCTTTAATGGATTGGAATTTAAAATACATTAGGTGACTTTCTTTTTTGAAGTTTAAATTATCATAAAGTTTAGCAAAATTCATTCTTAAAATTGATAGCAATAATTGTTTTTTTTTTTGGGAAGGGATTTTAAAGTGAATTACAATTCTTTTCATAGAGTGACAAAATTCTGTTTTATTTATTTCTATTCCTTTAATAGTTTACTTTACTAGTTCGGTTAAATCCAGTTATTAGCAATTCAATTTTCTAATCAATTAAAATGAAATTTAAACGAAAGGGATGTGGATGGATAACAACCATGAAATCTTCTAATAGATGTTTTGCAAATTTTTTTTTTTTACTATATTGCTACAAATTTTTTTACCAAAATTTAAATTAATGAAAGGAATTTCATTTTTACGGTAAAATAAAAAATAACAAATGAAAAAATCCTATATGATTTAATCGATTTAATTCAAAAATCTATTTTTTTTCTTTCTTTTTATTGATATTATTATGTAATAAAAGAATTTGTAGAAAAAATGTCCTGGAAAAGATAATGTAATATGACATAATTATGTAATAGGTGATAATGATATGGTTAGGTGATACTGATATTGTCATCCTCAATAATGATATAGCTATGTTGTAGATCATGATTATATGGTTATTTTTAGTAATGATATAGTTAGGTAGTAAATGATAATGATATGGTTATCCTTAATAATAATGTAGTTATATAGATGATGTTAATGATATGGTTATCCTTAATAATGATATGCTTATGTAGGCGATGTTAATGATAGCGTTATCGTTAATGATGAATTATAGGTACGCAACAAATAATAATGGTATAATTATCATAGCAATGATGTAGTTATACGGTAGATAATAATGATGTAATTATCCTTAGCAATTGATACAGCTATCCAGAAAATGATAATGATATGATTATCATTGGCAATTCTATAGTATATGTAACAGATAATAATGATATGATTATTGAAGCAATAGAGTAATGTTATCTAAAATGAAACAATTGAAATAGTATGTTATTTAATTTTTCATTCAATTTTCTTCATTTAATTATCTTAATTAATTTTTTTAAAAATAATATTAACTTGTATTGAATGCAAA